TTTCCAGATGCGATTCGTCAAGATTGTAAGCTCCTGGAGGGAAATGAAACCAGGCTTCTATCATGGACACATTTCCTTTTTGGACTTTGCAAAGTATGGATTTTATTGTTCGTTTTCCCTTTTCCTTTGTCTCCTTTTTTTTTTTTTTTTTTATCTTATCCCAGCATGGTAGATGCCTACCACATCTGAGACTTACAAATGTGCCGTCGTAAGCTAATCTTTTGTTACTTCAGGGGGGGCTACAATGCACTGCAGAATGATTCAGACTCTCAGCAGAAATCCAGTCATAGATGTTATAAACCAGCGCTCTCTAGTGTTCAAACTGGGGGCACAACATTACATTTCAATAACATCACATTTTAAATAGCTTTCTGTACGTATATGGTGTACTATGAATTCACAAATCAAATGTAACTTTTCTTTATCTATTGGCAATAATCCTTTTTTTTTTTTTTCACTTCCATATTCAATCAGATGTTTTTGAAAGGCAGGTCTACAGAATGATTTCTACCCAATCTCTATCTTGATTGCTCTGTCTACCAATCTATCTAATACTGATTTCACACTCTTAAAGCTGAACTCCAGGTATAAATGTGTATGTATGCTCACATTGGTTCTGCTTGGCCCAACATAAGTAGAGACATTTTATACCTGGTAGGGCCAATCAGAGATTGCCTAGTATTTATTGATAAAAATACTAGAGGTGCAATGAATGGCCGTTATGCCGAGGGAGCGACCCTCTGTGTTTTCAGAGCAAAGGGGAAGTCACTCAGTACAGTGGCAGTACAGAACCTGGAAGTTCGCTGCAAAGCACTGTAGTAGTACTGGCTACTAAAATGTTTTGCAGGATGCCCGTGGCACTACCAGGTATAAAAAATGTATATTGACATTGGGTCAATAAGTATATATATATAAACCATCATAACTGGAGATCAGCTTGATCTGTAGCCACCCCGGTTGTGTTGCATTTAGATTTGTGATGCCCAATTATATTGTGAAATGTTTTTATATTTGAAATCAGTTAGTGCACAAGCCTTGTAAGTTATAACAGTGCAGCCCCTGGTATGCCCCATCTCATCCGTAGCAACATTGCATGCAGTGGGTGGCACTGAGGGGGTGAATCATGGCCAGTGTGTTTTCCGGAATCCAGCAAGTGAAACGAATGGAAAACACTCATTAATTCAACTGGGGGCTTCAGCTGCCATTGTGATGTGCGGGGCTCCTTATGTCCCTATGCCTTTAAGAAGGTTGGACTACCTACCTCCTGGTGAACCTGCACCCAATTCATCCATTGCTATAAATATTCTCCAAGATGGAGGCTCTCATAGGTTAGTTAGGACCACACTATACAGAGGGGCCATTACGAGGGAGTGCGGCTTCCACTTGTTTTGCAAAAGTTGTGTAACAAAAACCTCTGTTTGTAACCTTAGTAATTAGACTACTTGGAGGCTGCTGAATGTGCTGGGTAATTTTTTTTTCCTGAATTCCTTCCCCAGAGAAATATCTGTATTATTACTCTGCAAAAAGTAAAGAATTACAATGGGATGACAGTTAAAGAAGAAAAATAAAATAGTCTGGCAGCAATGCATGGAATATTCTAGATGACTACAATTCAGCGTTGGTTAACATTTCAACTTTAAATTTCAGGTTTGGAGTCAAGAAGAAGCCTATTTATATCAATGTAATTAGGGATCCTATAGAGAGGCTTGTTTCATACTACTACTTCCTGCGTTTTGGAGATGACTATAGGCCAGGTCTACGCAGGAGGAAGCAGGGAGATAAAAAGGTAACACAAGATTTTTTTTATGCCTTTAAAATGTATAATTGTTATGGGGGAGTATATACTTTGGATTGTGTCAGAGATGTTGATGACAAATATGTATATCTACATGCAGTTTGCTTGTATATAAGGTACCAGAAGATTTTCCACTGTAGAAGTTTGCAAATTATAACTTGGATATGTACACGGTAGTTCATGCTAAAGGTGATCAATTGTGATTATTTATTAAATATTTTGTTGATCGCATTTGCAAATCATTCTGGGTCTCCGATTCTTTAAGTAGAGGGCTCCTCTTGGCCCCTTCTAACATAACTTTCCCTTTGCTATAGAGTCATTGAGGTTTAGCATAAGCCCATGTCCATGGTGCTAAGCCTGTCCAGCAACCATCCCCCTGTCCAGCAACCATCCCCCTGTCCAATGAGAGTGCCATGCTCGTGTAGAATAAATCAGGGTTCATAATGTTTTTATTATTACAGACCTCTGTTGGATTGGCCAGCATGGCACTCAAAATAATCATCGTCGTCAGTCCTATTGGGTGCTAGTATGACTTGAGAAGATGTCTGTAGCTTAGTGTTATTTCACATATGGATAGCTAGGCACCGATCAGCTGAAAGAAAATCATACAAATTTTAACATATTTATATCAAAACCAAATGCACAAGCTAGTCACAACTATTAGGAATATGATGTACAGTTGCTGACAGTGTTACTTCGTAATCTAACACTTCAAGTTAATTTCTTTACTTTGATTTCAGGTTCAAAAATGCATAGAGTTAAGCGGTTATTAATTTGTTTTTCTAATTGCTCAGAGATCCCATCCCGCACCTCCTTGATTTCCCCTTTCCTCCTATGTGGATGGCAAATGTTGAATCTGTTAATTTCCTATCACTCGTTTCTTGTTCTGGTGGTCACCAGGACAAATAAAGGGTGGATTTCCCCAATGGCGACAGAGACCACACTAAAAACCTGACACTGGGCCTAACCCTTCCACATTCTATCCAAAACAAAGAGAAAAAGGAGAGAGGGGCTTGGCTAGAACTTTAATTCTTGAACCTTTTCACTGCCAACTAGACTGTTCACCTGTGTAAAGCCGACTGTCAGCTTTACGCTGAAAGTGATTCTGTTGGCTGAAAAGCTGCCAGATTGCTTTCAGGGGCCGGTAAACAGTTGCCTATGGACAATTGGGGGTACTGTATTTTCTCGCTGTTTGACAGGCACATGCAATGTATAAACCCCTCATGTTGGGTATCTATTTACTCAGCACAACCTCGTCTTTTATATTTTACAAAATATTAGGTAATACATTGGGAGGGGGGTTATCGAAACTGGTGCAGTTGCCCATGGCGATCAATCAGCATCTCTCTTCAGTTTACTCAGTTGAGATTTGAAGATAGAAAATGATTGGTTGCAGTGCAAATCTGCTCCAGATTTTGTCTGCTTCAGTTTTGATAAATTCCACACATTTGTGTTTTTATGAACTAAAATTAACTTGTTTATTTTTTTAGTGACATTTTTGGATTTAAAAAAAGAGTTGCGCTATCATGCAACATAAATTTGCAACTGCCACCATTTCATGCTCCAGGGTCTCCACTTTAAGTAAATATATAATTCGGGGGGTTTAAGTGATTTTCAGGCCTAAAAAGTGGATTATAACGTGTGCAAAAACGGCTCTGGCAGCCAAAGTGGTAAATCCATAAAGTTGATTTCTTTTTTAAGGGTGCAGCGCCATTTTTGGTCCATTTAGGCTGCTGTTTGTTGCAACCTGTCAGCTTTCATATTTTGGATGCAGAAAGGATGATGGTTGCTATTTGGTTTAATTTTCATAAATCGGCCCAGGAGCATGGCAGCCTGATACAAATGATAAAACAGCTGGAATAGGAATATTACTTTTTTTCTCTGGAAACTGCATAAGGTTCATCTGTCAATATTTAACCTCTTTACTTTCAGAAATATTGCAAGCCGATAGAGAAGGATCTCTCTGAGAGGGTAAGCTATTTGTTATGCTTTATGCTGGAATTTATACCCAACAGTACATATTTTTCTGTCTTCCAGACCTTTGATGAATGTGTAGCAGCTGGAGGATCTGACTGTGCTCCAGAGAAACTTTGGCTTCAGATCCCGTTCTTCTGCGGCCACAGCTCGGAATGCTGGTAAGTAGATAAATCCAGCTTACTTTGTTGATTAACTATCTTATCGCTGTAATCTAGGATGAACAACTCAGAATTTGCACTGGAGGGGGTGGCATCAAAAGAAAATCAGTGCACTCAGTGCTCTCATTTACCTTTTTTCTTTCTTTTGAAAAGCTTCATTATAATTGAAACATTTTGGTGCCTGCATCAGGGGCGTATCTTGGCGGCGTTGCTGCCTTGCCTATGGCAGCAGCAAAGGTAAATACACCACTGGCCTGCATTGATGTGTCATAGCTTGTTCGCTACAATTAGAGTACTGACAGGTTTACTATAGTGTACACCAATTTTGCAATATAGAAATCTAGATCTGCATGGGAGAAATTAATATGCCCAACCCAGAAACTTTGTAGATGCTACCCTTCTGCCTGCAGCATGGTCTGTGAATGAAATAGCCAGCATTCAAAGGCCACTTAACACACAGATACAGTGTTGTGAAGGCAAGATACAGTGACGCATTAGGCATGAAGACCCTAAAAATGTGGATAACCTGGTGTTTCTTGTGGAGCGACATACTGCTACCAAGGACAATCTTCGTAACCTACCCTGGAAACAGAATAGTATCAACCCTCAGGTAAGACTGTTCCTTTTTATCCAAGAAGTAAACAGGCTCCTAAGGAGATGGGTGAGGCACCCATGGGTGCAAGATATTAATGGCCTTCTAGCCCAAAGGAGTCTTTTTTTTTTAGAGACACTGCATATTGGGTAAAGCGGAGAAAAAGGGACACCGCTCCATTGCTGGGTTTTAAAATGTCCAGTGCAGAAAGAGATTAGGTGCTTCTCCAAGACGCTCATCCATTCTGAGTGATTAGTACCAGTTTGTGCCTGTTTAGAATTCCAGGTGTGACTACATATTAGGTGCAAGGCCTGGTTCATGTGGCTGTCAATTGTCCCATGTGAGCTGGGGAAGTGTATGTCATTGTTTGCCAAGCCTGTTCTGGCAGCACACATATGAACTAAGACTGGAAGGCAGATACACTATATTTCCAAAAGTATTGGGACGGCTGACTTTACGCGCACATGATCTTTAAAGTGACAATAAAGTAAAAAAATGTTTCCCTCCCCCCAATGTTAATGTCAGCACTTACCTTAAATTATGTCTCTTAATCCGATCTTCCTCTTTTTCCCTGTCCTTTTCAGCCTTCTCTCCAGCCCTGCGGCGGGTGTTAGATCCAGCGCTGACTCCTCTGTCCTTCCTGGCACTTCCTGTCCCACGGTGTCTGCAGGCGGGTGCACGCTTCCATAGACTTATCTTGCGTCTCTCTGCGTCTCCCAGCCGAAAATCCGAACTGCGCATGCGCCCGCCCCAAGATGCTTTGCGGCAGCCCGAGCAGTTTCGGATTCTCGGACAGGAGCGTGCGGCAAAGACGGGGTAAGTTTAAAGCGGGTTTTGGTTTTTAAAAAAAACTTTTTGCATATATCTACTGCTAGCAGTAGATGTATGCAAAAAAACCGGAGGGTTTAAAAACCCTTTAATGACATCCAAGTCTTAGTCCGTAGGGTTCAATATTGAGTTGGCCCACCCTTTGCAGCTATAACAGCTTCAACTCTTCTGGGAAGACATCCACAAGGTTTAGGAGTGTGTCTATGGGAACATTTGGCCATTCTTCCAGAAGCGCATTTGTGAGGTCAGGTACTGATATTGCACGAATAGGCCTGGCTCGCAGTCTCCGCTCTAATTCATCCCAAAGGTGTTCTATCGAGTTGAGGTCAGGACTCTGTGCAGACCAGTCAAGTTCCTCCACCCCAAACTCGCTCATCCATGTCTTTTATAGACCTTGCTTTCTGCACTGGTGCGCAGTCAGTTGGAACAGGAAGGGGCTATCCCCAAACTGTTCCCACAAAGTTGGGAGCATGAAATTGTCTAAAATGTCTTGGTATGCTGATGCCTTAAGAGTTCCCTTCACTGGAACTAAGAGGCCAAGCCCAACCCCTGAAAAACAACCCCACACCATAATCCCCCCTCCACCAAACTTTATACTTGGCACAATGCAGTCAGGCAAGTACCGTTCCCCTGGCAACCGCCAAACCCAGACATTTCCATCGGATTGCCAGACAGAAGCGTGATTTGTCACTCCAGAGAACACGTCTCCACTTCTCTAGAGTCCAGTGGCGGCGTGCTTTACACCACTGCATCCGACGCTTTGCATTGCACTTGGTGCTGTAAGGCTTGGATGCAGCTGCTCAGCCATGGAAACCCATTCCATGAAGCTCTCTACGCACTGTTGTTGTGCCAATCTGAAGGCCACATGAAGTTTGGAGGTCTGTAGCTATTGGCTCTGCAGACAGTTGGTGACTTCTGCGCACTGTGTACTTCAGCATGCGCTTACCCCGCTCTGTCATTTTTACTTCGTAGCTGAGTTGCTGCTGTTCACAGTTGCTCCACTTTGTTATAATACCACTAACAGTTGACCGTGGAATATTTAGTAGCAAGGAAAGGCAACCTATCACGGTACCACACTTGAATTCACTGAGCTCCTGAAAGTGATCCATTCTTTCATAAATGTTTGTAGAAGTATCTGCATGCCTAGGTGCTTGATTTTATACACCTGTGGTCATGGAGGTGATTGGCTTGCTGTCCAAGCAGGTTTGTCCTGCAAATGTATTCAAAAAGGCAGCAAATAAGCACAGTTTCATGCACACAGGGGCACACATTAATTAATGAATTCCCCAAAACAAACCTTTTTTATTGTGTTGTCAGCAGCAGGTTCCCACAGCACATAGGGAGTAAGGCCTGGTTCACACCTGGGCGTTTTACAGCGCGTTCCTACGCGTTGTAAAACGCTCAACATGTGAAAAGCAATGATTGCCTATGGGCATGGTTCCCACCTGGGCGTTTTACAGCGCATAGGAACGCACAGCAAAACGCCCTAGTACAAGTGCTTCTTTGGGGTGTTTTGCAGCGCGTTTCCAATGGTGTTCCCAAGTGTGGATCTGGGTTAGCAAAGTGGTAACCCCGAGCCACACTGGGGAATACAGCGTACAAGTCTTACCTTGTCCGCGATCCCCGATGTGTCCTCCGGTGGCTGCCAACTTCCGGGTTCCGTCCCTTGCGAGCAGCTGCGTCGCAGGGGGCTAAGCAGGCGGAAACTTTAAACTGAAACTAAAAAATATTTAAAAATAGAGAAAATAAAGGAAAAAACCACCAAAAAAAATCATACCGCCATTGAAACGTGTGTTTCACTGAAGGAAAAACGTGCTAAAAAACGTGAAAAAATATGCTCAGGTGTGAACCCAGCCTTAGGATGGGCTAGGGCGTGTTCGGGTCCGCAGCTGCAGAGATCGGGAAATGTCACAGTGCCTGTGATTGGCGTTGCGGTGCTGTTAGCTTCCTGGCGGGCTCAGCACGTGGAGCTGCGAATACGCCCGAGCCCATCCTTAATAGGGAGCACTGAGCATCAGTGAGCTTGTGTGTGTGTATATATATATATATATATGTATGTGTGTATATATAAATAATGGCGCTATATAAATACTATGTAGTAATAATAATATTTATATAGGTA